TTCGGTTATTGAACTGTTGTGTGCTTTTCATTCCTAAACTTGTAATTCTCTATGTTGAATAGTTACTTAATAATTATACTCTAAGAGCTCTTACTATATATTTCTAGAACCAACAATGTTGAATGAAAAAGCCTTTATTTCCTTTCATCTTCTCTGTTTCCTCAAGTTTTACTCTGTTTATCCGGCTCATTCCTTTAGATAAATACTAGAAATTTTCTTATAGTTATGTACCCTTTAGGCATTATATCGTGCGGTCAGCAGTTGTGGGGATATTTCCAGAACACCGTCAGCCATCAATTCCTTGACTTTAGTAATTTTTATTACATAAAAATACCTAAAATGTTCTTATTATTTGTAGTCATCAATTTAGACATTATATCAATTTCTGTTATTTTTTAAAAACTATTTCTAAATAATGAATTATTTAGTTTAAGTGAGCATTCCTTTTAGAACATGGAATCCTCTTTTATAGTGACGACAAACAAAAAAAGTTGTCCAATCCTATTAGGAACCAAATTCTATTTCTACAAGGAGTTAGATTCTACTAGTTCTTTGACAAAGTTATACTAATAAATAGAATCACCAGATCTATACATATGCTTAACCCTACCCACGCGTATTACATCATTATATGATATTTCTCTGGATCACAGCTAGCAGTCGTTGGCTTTCTCTAGTTTCTTCTTCAGTCTTTGTTCTTCGCTTTTTCCTACCTGTGAATTAGTAAAGCATTTTGGTATAAGGTAATGGGAACTCACGTCCAAGAGGAAATACTTATGGACATTCTTAGCAGGCTACCGGTGAAGTCACTTGTTCGTTTCAAGTGTGTTTCAGAATCTTGGAATACATTGATCTCTGAACCTTATTTTAAGAAGAAACATCTCAACCATGCTAAGAATCAACCGACTTTCCAAAAGATGCTTTTTTTAAAATGGTCCAATAAGGATGATACTTTTCACTTCTATTGTTCTTCTTTATCCTTGGTTCAACTTGTTAAGGATATCCCTAGATTTGATTGTCCTTCAAATTTTGATTTAGCAAATGGTGTAAAACTCTATTCTAGTTGTGATGGTTTGTCTCTCATCGGGATTTGGAGTAAACCTGATCGGGAACAACCTTCAATATTATTGATATGGAACCCCTCCACAGGAGAATCAATAATACTTCCCCATTCAAAATTGTTAAAACAGTTGGGATATAATGATGATGACGATGATTGGGGATCTACTTATGGATTGGCTTATGACTCTACTAGTGATGACTATAAAGTCCTTAGAATTGACATATCTAGAGATGACAATGCAAATGAAATTATGACATTGAAAAGTGGTTCCTGGAGAAGAATTGATAAAACCTCAGGTAAGGCAGTTAGTTGTTTGTTGTTTGGTGGGGAGTATTTGGCAGTTGTACATGGAGCATTTCATTGGCTTGGTATCTTATCAAGGTTTTGTGTGGTTTCATTTAATATATCATATGAGGTATACGGAGAGATACCATTGCCGGAGATACTGTGCTCGCTCCCTTCAACCTACTTGAATCGCATTCATTTTGATGGGGGCGTATCAGAATTGGGAGGAATGCTTTATGTTTGGTATAAGTACGACAACACTTTCAGTTTATGGGCAATGAAAGATTATGGTGTTAAAGAATCTTGGATGAAGTTGTTTAGTATAACAAGTATCGGATTTCGTGATATCACACCGATATATAAATTTTCAGATGATAAAGTGCTGCTCAGCATGAGAGTTAATTTAACAATAAGAATTGTAAATAGGATAATATCTATTGGATCATTTGGAATAAGCAATCGAAGATGGCCTCTAGATTGTGATGATATTGATGGAGTTACTATTGATGAGGATGGCATTGCTTATACGGAAAGTCTGATCTCTCCCCGAGTGGGTCTTTAAATTATGCGTTGACCGTCTAGATAATAATTACAACTTGTTATTCTTATAGTTTTATCTACTGCTAAGAATCTTTTTGGTTCCAACATTGATTTACCGACTCTGTCGGCTTGTTTTTTGATTTTCTCATATAATGAGAATCTGTGCCCATCGATTCTCATTATAATTTAATTTGTGCCATGATAGGATAACTAATTTACAATCTTCCTTACATGTGCAATGCCTCTTGATATAAAGGTTCTCCGTTAAAGTTTACACGTTGTTCAGTCCAAGATGTGCAGTTTTACAGTTGAGTCTCCTCCTTGATGTTAACTCAAACAGGCCACACACACTTTTTAGGAATTTTTACATCTCTATTTGAAACTTTATTACCATCCCTACTCAAGTTTCAATTTAATTACATCCTATATACAAATTTACCAATTATATACTTTAAAAATTAAATGAGTATCCCTTTATATTATGAATCAATTATTTCACATGCTTATTCTCTCTCCCTCCTGCTCTCTCTCTCTCTCTCTCTCTCTCTCTCTCTCTCTCTCTCTCTCTCTCCGTCTCTCTCTATCTCTCAATCCCTAATTCCAGTAATGTAAAACAAAGGAAAAGAGAGTAGCAATTCCACCATTGACAGCCATTAAAAAAACTTTGAATTCGAATTTGGGTTTTCAAAAACCATTATTTGTTTGGATTTGGTGTTATTGCTATTTTATATATATATATATATATATATATATATATATATATATTACCCAGTTTCAGATGCAATCTAATATGTTCAGATTTACATAAGCCTTAATATAATTGAGTTGTGTGGATAAAAAATATTGTGGATTAGTGTTGTCCTGTACTAGGATCAGGATTTTAATTCTGTTCCCTTCAAGACAGTTTGGCTAAAATTCCACCGTGAAAAGTAGACCTGTTTGTGATGAAGATAAATGGGCTTCACGAGACAAGAGACAATTTTGTTTTTTGAAACGAACGATCATTGCTAGGTTAAAACAATTGAGTTATTTGCTCATCCCCTCATTACTGTGACCTTGTGTATGGTAAGTCCCAATTCTCTATACCATTGTTGCTTAGTTTATGAATTTATGTTAATTTGCATAATAGAGATTAGAGTGAGTCCATAGTTTATACAACTCATTATTTGTTTTCTTCTTTCTTTATCATCTTTGTTGACTCTTTAACTTTTCTGCTTTCGTTACTTTCTTCTCGGATTATTGCAGCTTCAACCAATACCCAAAGAAGTTGTTAGCATCCGATTCTTGATTGTGCCCCGATATTGCTGCACCTGAAAAAGGGGGACCTACCTAAAGTAGGTGCTAAAATGATAGACTTAAGAAGGCATTGGACTCAGACCCATGGTAGATTTTCTTTTCTACCTTATTGGGCCTTTGTATAATTGAGCCACGTTTCCTTTCTCTTATATTGGAAACCGGCCCGTGTCCGGATTTATTGATTATTGGACTACACTGTATATATTAATAGATTGATTGAAGTCTATTGAGGGTAATGGATCATTTTCTCCTCTTTCTATTTACCCGATGGTCTCGAAGCTTCTCTCTAACACAGAATAGAACCTAGGGTTTTCTCTGATCCATTCACACAAATTCAATCACTTCTCACAAGTTAACATGGTATCAGAGCAACGATTCCTGACGTACTCGAGGAGCTGCTTCATCCTATCGGTTCAAATTTCTCAATCTATGAAGTTTTTAGTTGTATTCGACGAGAACTGTTTCATGATTTTCAGGAAATTTTGGGTGTTTTCCGGGGTCATTTGAGGTTAGCTTCATCATTTTCTTATTTTAACTCAGCAAGGCTCTACTCATTCGAGCATTGTGAAGGAGATACAGTACTATCTGTTCATGCCTCAGTGTATAGGTTTTGTGACCTAATTGAACAATTTGTGTGATTTTAGCTCAAATTTTTCTCTGTACTATTCTTGTTGTAGTATTGATTCTCAAAATTTGCCCTTATTTGTTGATCCAAACCATGGGTACAGAATCGCCCTCTTCCTCTCCTATCCTTCAATCATCTCCTATGCTTATTGACCCTTCACATCCTCTCTATGTGCATCCATTCGATAATCTTGGTGTTCTGTTAGTGTCAGTCCCCTTTACAGGGGCTGAATACACTTCATGGAGAAAAAATATTCTAATTGCCTTGTCTGCTAAGAATAAATCTGGGTTGATTAATTGTAAAATTCCACAACCCCGGCCTAGTTCTCCTCTTTATGGTTACTGGGTTAGATATAATGACATGGTCTTTGCTTGTCTAAGCAATTCCCTATCCAAAGACATTGCAGACAATGTTTTACACTGTGATACTGCTTGTGACACTGTGATACTCCTCTAGTGCTAGTAGGTATTATCAAATACAAAGATAAATTGCAGGGGTATCTAAGGGTTCCTCTGATATTGCTAGCTACTACACCAGACTTAGGAAACTCTCGGATGAGTTAAAAACTGCTGCATTTGGCCCAGCATGCACTTGTGGGGCTGAGCCACAATGCAGTGATGGTCAAAAGCTTATTCATTTCCTCACAGAGTTGAATAAAACCTACTCAAATGCTAGGAGTAATATCCTTATGATGTATCCTGTCCCAACCCTGGGTAAAGCATACTCCATTCCCCTTCATGATGAGAGTCAAAGGGAAATTCAGCCATCTGGTGGTCCATTTCTCTCAGAGTCAACTTCTTTTTCTGTGAAATCTACACCTGCCCCTGCTCAGTTCACCAATGGTCCTAAATCCTTCTCTCAGAAAATCAATTTTGACATCAAAAGGATAGGTCTTGTGTGCAAATACTGTAAAAAGCCTACCATTTTGTTGACAAATGTTACAAACTTTATGGGTTCCCAAGTGACTTCAAATTCACAAAGGGTAAGAAGTCTGTTGCTTGTGCTCAAATTGATATTTCTACATCAGAGGATCAACAGTGTTCTGAGAATATCACCAACAATCCTATCCATGGGTTCAGCAAGGAACAATATCAACACCTCATGAGCTTATTTCAACAGTTTCACATCTCCCCTTCTCAAGATTCAACTGGCAACACCACTGCAATGGCTGTTTGTGCAGGTGTGGTCTGTAGTCTTGCTGTTTACTCTCTTACTTTATGTTGTGTATCACAATTAAAAGTCAACACCTGGATTCTAGATTCAGGTTCAACCAACCACATGACACCTAATAAACACCTATTACACAACATCTAGTTTTTGCCTTTTTCTTATCTTGTTACACTTCCAAATGGTTATAAGGTCAAAGTTCATTGCACTAGTTCTTTACAACTATGTGATGATTTGATTTTATCAAAAGTCCTCTTAGTCCCTTCCTTTAAATTAAATTTAATCTTTGTGCCTCAACTGGTTGATCAACTTAGTTGCACAGCTTTCTTCACCAAAATTTTCTGTCATTTACAGGTCCCTTCTTTGAGGAGGCCATTAGAAATTGGTAGAGCAGCAAATGGACTTTATGTCATTGATTTTGTTGTTACTCTACCAACCTACATCATCTTTACAAAGTACCACAAATAAAAGATCAGTTAGTTTACCACTGTCTACTCCTTCTGTAAATAACATTTCGAATAAGACATCAGTTTCTTTGTGTGATTATAGTGCTTGCATTTTTACTTGAAATCCTGATTGCTCTATTAATAAAACTAATCTTTTCTGGCATGAAAGACTAGGACATATGCCCTTTCATAGAATGCAATCTATTGAATTCTTATCTGGTAAGCTGTCTTCTAAACAATCCTTTATTTGTCTTGTGTGCCCTTCAGCCAGACAACAGAGACTGCCTTTTCTGGATAGTTCTATCAAATCCACTAAACATTTTTAATTAGTACACATTGACTTATGTGGTCCTTATCATACTAGAACATATAATGGTTTTAGATATTTTTTAACCATTTTAGATGACTTTTCAAGGATAACTTGGACACACTTGCTTTCTTGTTAAAGTAATGATTTTGATCTCATTAAGGCTTTTGTTCTGATGATCAAAATTTATTTTAATCTTCCTGTACAAACTATTAGACCAGACAATGCCTTTGAGCTTGGTTCTAGCACTAAGGCTTCATCTTTCTTTGCTGAATATGGTATTTTACACCAAACTACTAGATCCCATACTTCTCAACAAAATTGTGTAGTTGAGAGGAAGTATAAACATCTTCTGGAAACTTCTAGAGCATTACTTATGGGGTCCTTATCATACTAGAATATATAATAGTTTTAGATATTTTTTAACCATTGTAGATGACTTTTCAAGGGTGACTTGGACCACATTGCTTTCTTGTAAAAGTAATGCTTTTGATCTCATTAATGCTTTTGTTCTGATGGTCAAAATTTATTTTAACCTTCCTGTACAAACTATTAGATAAGTCAATGCCTTTGAGCTTGGTTCTAGAACTAAGGCTTCATCTTTCTTTGCTGAATATGGTATTCTTTATCAAACTACCATTTCCCATACTCCTCAACAAAATGGTATAGTTGAGAGGAAGCATAAACATCTTCTGAAAACTTCTAGAGCATTACTATTTCAATCCAAGCTTCCAATTAAGTATTGGGGTGACTGTGTACTCACAATTACCTATCCCATTAATAGGTTTCCTTCCACTACCCTCCAACATCTCTCTCCTTACCAAAAACTACATGGGCTCCCTCCTACTTATGCTCATTTAAGAACCTTTGGTTGTTTATATTTTGCAACTATACCAAACGTGAAGAGAGATAAGTTTTAGCCAAGAGCATGTCCTGCTCTTTTCCTGGGGTACCCTTTAGGAAAGAAAGGCTACAAGATAGTAAGTCTAGCTAATCATTCCATTTCTACTCTAGGGATGTGGTTTTTCATGAACACATTTTTCCTTATCTTCTTCTGGCTTCCCAATCACTTCTGATCCTTTTGTGGATTCTCAAACTTTTCCTTGTTCACCTGCTTCCTCAGTACTACCCCATTCTCCTTCTGTTCCTCCTCCTCCACCTATTCATTCCTCTCACTCCCCCAGTCAGTCCTCTTCTCACTCCTTCAGTCAGTCCCCTTCTCATCCTTCTTTTCCTTCACCCATTCCTACTTCACATCATCTTCCTCTTAGGAAGTCCACTAGGGTCTCCCATGCTCCAACCTATCTCAAGAATTATGTTTGTTACTTTGTTCAACACCCTGCCTCTCTACCCTCTGAACCTCAATATTATCAGCAAGCTACTCCACATCCTGCCTGGCAGGAAGCTATGGAAAAGGAATTCCAAGCCTTAGATACCAACTCCACATGGGACATTGTGCTCCACCTGGAAAGAAGGTCATCCCCTGTTAATGGGTGTACAAAATCAAACAAAAAACTGATGGTTCCATTAAAAGGTATAAGTCCAGATTAATGATCATGGGTGATTCTCAAAAGGAAGGCATTGATTACTTTAAAATATTCAGACTTGTTGTTAAGATCACAACCATCAAATGTCTCCTTACCCTTGCTGTCAAACACAAGTGGAATGTACACCAAATGGATATCAATAATGCCTTCCTTCATGAAGATCCCTTTGGGTTTATGTGTTGAATCTACCTCTTCTGATCTTCCTTTAGTTTGCAAATTAAAGAAGCCACTCTATGGGCTAAAATAAGCTTCTAGGCAATGGTTTGCAAAGTTTTCAGAGTCTCTTGTTTCAAGGGGCTATTATCCCAGTAAGAATGACTCCTCTCTTTTTACCAAGGTGACTCCTACTTCTATTGTTCTGCTTGTTGTATATGTGGATGATCTTCTTTTGGCTGGCAATGATGATGATTGAATGGTAAGCCTGAAATCCTTCCTTGATCATCAATTCAAGATCAAAGACCTTGGGACTGTCTATTATTTTTTGGGTCTTGAGATCTCTAAGGTGGATCAGGGGTTTCTCATCAACCAACAAAAGTACACAAAAGCGCTCTTTTCTGAATTCCACTGTTCAGAGGTTATACCAGCACTCACACCCCTTGATCCTCATGTCAAATTATCTGTTGATTCAGGGAAAGCTCTTTCTGATCCTTCTGTCTATAGAAGATTAATTGGCAAGCTGAATTTTCTCCAACATACCAGGCCTGACATCTTTTATTTAGTGCAACATCTCAGCCAATTTCTTGTGTCTCCTAGAGTGCCCCACATGCTGGCTAGTTTGCATGTTCTCAAATACATCCTCAATAATCCTGCCCAAGGCATCCTGCTGAGTGTTGTTCCTGATTTCTCCTTGAAAGCTTATGCTGATTCTGACGGGGATACTTGCCCCATTTCCAGAAGGTCTGTGACTGGCTATTATGTGGTTCTTGGTAATTCCCCTATTTCTTGGAAATCTAAGAAGCAACCTACATTCTCTCTTTCTTCTGCTGAGGCAGAGTATAGAGCCTTGAGGAAGGTTGTTGCTGAGGTGGTTTGGCTTACCAGACTGTTAGCTGACTTGGGCATGTCTATTACTGATCCTGTCCCCATATTTACGATAGTCAGACTGCCCTCCACATTGCCAGAAATCTTATTTTTCATAAAAGAACCAAACACATTGAGGTGAATTATCACTATGTGAGGGATGTGCTTTCTTCTAGGCTTATTGCTCTTGATCATGTCTCTTCTGCCGACTAACTTATTGATGTTCTGACCAAGGCTTTAACAGGTGTTCCTCACCATAAGCTCTTATGCAAGCTGGGTGTGCACTCACCCTCCAGCTTGAGGGGGTGGGGGTGATAGACTTAAGAAGGCATTGGACTCAGACCCAAGATAGGTTTTCTTTTCTACCTTATTGGGCCTTTGTATAATTGGGCCATTTTTCCTTTCTCTTATATTGGGAACTGGCCCATGTCCGGATTTATTGATTATTGGACTACACTGTACATATTAATAGACTGATTGAGGTCTATTGAGGGTAATGGATCATTTTCTCCTCTTTCTATTTACCAGATGGTCTCGAAGCTTCTCTCTAACACAGAATAAAACCTAGGGTTTTCTCCGATCCATTCACACAAATTCAATCACTTCTCACAAGTTAACATGAAAAGAGCAGGTTTCTTTTTTTCCCTTTTCCTTCATTACGCTCTAATATCTCTCACATAACATGTATACCAATTCATTCTAAGGTCATAGAGTAGAGAAAAGTGAAATTTAGCATTCTTGCTCAGTTACTCCTTGGATCCTGCCTCAAAATATCAAATCTCTCTTAGTATCATCTATGTATACATTTAGAGGATACAAATGTATTGAAAGTTGTGAGATAGAGTTGAGATTATAAATGATTGATGAGCCTCAATGGAACTTAGGGTCCAGTTACCTCTGAGTATACAGGACAGGATATGTCTAAATAATGAACTTAATCCTTTCATTCATTCTTTTTCCTTCTAATTCTAATTCTAAGATGATTTCTTTGCCGTTCTGTATCTTTTTAGTTTGGAGGAGAGGCCTAGCTAAAAAGAGAAACAGAGAGACACAAGGACATGAGTTCAATCTAAGATGGTTTGATATGACTGATGAAACTGCACCAACACCATGGGGTGACTTGAAAATCTACCAATATAATGGAAAGTACACCGAGCATCGAACAATGGCTGTTGTTTTAGACAGCAATGATATAGTAAGATGAAAATTGACCGAGGAATAAGGTTGATGCTAAATTTTAGTATGCACAATTGGATGTTCTGGTTGAGGGCGGACCTCTCTGTGTAAAAGAGAAATAATTTTTGTTTGTGTAATATGTACATTGTAACGCATTTTACAGTCTTGTTATATGATTGTCACTTTCTCTTTTTATTATTTCTTTTCAAAGCTTCAAGGTTGCAGTCGCAAGTTAGGAGAAATTGTTGGAGTGAGTTGACCATTACTTTAGACTGTAAATTGTTAGAGCATGAGCAAGATAATCTGGTTATAATCTTTTGTTGCAAATAAATACANATATATATATATATATATATTAGAAGATGGTGTACGAACACTGCTGAAATAAGTGTTACAAAAGGTTACTTGAGATATACTTTTGTTGGCACGAACACAATACATACACGTGTTTTATACGTGTCACCTCATTCTAGATGTTTCCCTTCCCAAGATTGGTTTGTCCCTCTATTATCTTTTCTTCATCTCTTTGGTGGGGTCCATCTCATTCAAAAGCCAAAAAAATTAGAATGTGCCTAAGGAAAATACTTGGCTGAATTTTTTTTGATTTGGCAGCCAACGTTGTTCAATTGTTAACATTGAAGAAAAAGAAGGAAAAGTATGTGCAAATTGTCAAATATAGTAGGCTTCAGAGAGTGAGGCTTCGGATATAAAAGGAGAGCTTCGACTCTCATTTCTACACACCAACAAAGAGAAAGAAAGAGTGAGGTTTCACAAACAGGGTATAAGAAAATAGTATGTAAGAAAAATAGAGAGTGGGCGATATTCTAGTGAGGTGGGAATATCAAAAGAGGGTTATTTTTTTTGAGTGTTGTAGTGGACTTTGAAGTATTTTACTCGGATCTACAAAGTGTAAAATTTCTTGCTATAGTGATATCAGTTGCTCCTCTCGGGGCTGTGATTTTTTTCCTTATTCAAAAGGGTTTTCCACGTAAAATTTTGGTGTCGTTGTCACTCTTTTATTCTTATTAATTACCGTATATCGATGCTATATTATTATTTTGATTTTATTACCGTAAATATTATTTATGTGGGAGTTTATTCCCAACAACTGGCATCAGAGCACAGGTTCTGCTCGCTCACAGAAGTACTATTCACTATCGGTAGTATAATACTCGGTGAAAAAAATATCCGGAGTGAAGTACGAGGTAGCAATATTCAACGGAGATAACAGTTTCTCAACATAGCAAAAAAGGATGAGATATCTGCTCATCCAACAAGGATTACAACAAGAATTGGGATGAGTTGAATGAAAGGGTTGCTAGTGCAATCAGGTTGCACTTATCAGATGATGTGGTAAATAACATCATTGATGAAAATACCGCAAGTGGCATTTGTACAAGGTTGGAAAGCCTATACATGTCCAAAACACTGACAAATAAATGTTACCTAAAGAAGTAGTTATACGCCCTACACATGGGTGAAGGTACGAATTTTTGTTATAGTTAAATGTGTTTAATGGACTAACCACACAACTCGCCAATCTCGGAGTGAAAGTCGAGGAAAAAGATAAAGCATCTTGCTATTGAACTCTTGCCATCTTTGTACTATAATTTGGCAACAACTATCCTTCACGGTAAGACTACCATTGGGTTGAAAGATGTCACATCGACTCTTCTACTCAATGAGAAGATGAGAAAGAAGCCTGGAAATTAATGACAGGTTTTCATCACAGAAGGCAGATCCGGAGTTCGAGGGAAGTCTAAGATCCGTAGCTCATGGGAAGTCTAAGAACCAATCCAAATCAAGAGCCAGAAATTGTTACAATTGTGATCAACCAGGTCACTTCAAAAGAAATTGTCCAAATCCAAGGAAGGGCAAAGGTGAAAGCAGTGGCCAGAAAAATGAAGACAACACAACCGTCATGGTGAAAACACAATGATTAATGTTATCCTCTTTATAAATGAGGAAGAGGAATGCATGCACTTGTCAAGTCTAGAGTCGGAATGGGTGGTTGATACAGTAGCATCTTACCATGCCACACCGGTAAGAGAATTTTTTTTCAGATATGTAGCAGGTGATTTTGGAACTGTGAGAATGGGTAACACGAGTTACTCAAAGATTGTGGGGATCAGTGACATTAGTATCAAGACAAATGTCGGATGCACATTAGTTCTAAAGGACATGCGGCATGTACCTGATTTGCGGATGAACTTGATCTCGAGAATTGCTTTAGACCGATATGGATACGAGAACTATTTTTCAAATCAAAAGTGAAGACTCACCAAGGGATCATTGGTGATTGCAAAGAGAGTTGCTCGTGGTACGTTGTACAAGACAAATGCAGAGGTGAATTGAACGTGGCACTTGATGAGATTTCTACAGATTTGTGGCACAAAAGAATGGGTCATATGAGCGAGGAGGGATTGCATTTCTTGCCAAAAAATTACTCATTTCTTATGCCAAAGGTACAATGGTAAAACCTTGTGACTACTATTTATTTGGTAAGCAGCATAGTCTCATTTCAGACATCGTCTGAAAGAAAATTAAATATACTTGATTTGGTATATTCTGATGTTTGTGGTCCAATGGAAATTAAATCGATAAGTGGTAACAAATATTTTGTTACTTTTATTCATGATGCTTCACGAAAATTATGAGTTTATATTTTGAAAACCAAAGATCAGGTGTTTCAAGTTTTTCATAAGTTTGATGCTCTGGTGGAAAGAATCTCCGAAGTGACAATGGAGGTGAGTACACTTCAAGGGAATTTGAAGAGTATTGTTCAAGTCATGGGATCAGACATGAAAAGATAGTTCCTGGAACCCCACAGCACAATGGCGTAGCCGAGAGGATGAACCGTACCATAGTTGAGAAGGTGAGAAGCATGCTCAGAATGGGTAAACTGCCTTAGTCATTCTGGGGTGAAGCAGTTCAGATTGCTTGTTACCTGATCAATAGGAGTCCATCATTTATGTTGGCGTTTGACATCACAGAGAGAGTTTGGACCAACAAGGAAGTGTCCTACTCACATCTAAAGGTGTTCGGTTGCAGAGCTTTTGCACATGTACCAAAGGAGCAGAGAACAAAGTTGGATGATAAATCTATTCCCTGCATATTCATCGGATATGGAGATGAAGAGTTCAGGTACATATTGTGGGATCTTGTAAAGAAGAAGGTCATCAGAAGCAGAGATGTAGACTTCCGAGAAAGTGAAGTTGGAACTGTAGATGACCAGTAAGAGAAGACAAAGAATGGTATAATCCCTAACCTTGTTACGATTCCTTCTTCTTCTAACTATCCCACAAGTGCAGAAAGTACGACCGACGAGGTTACCGAGCAGGGGGAGCAACCTAATGATGTTATTGAGCAGGATGAGCAACTTGATGATGGTGTCTAGCAAGTGGATCACCCCACTCAGGAAGACGAACAACCTCAACCTCTAAGGAGATCAGAAAGGCCAAGGGTAGAGTCATACAGATACCAGTGATGAGTGGGAGCCAGGAAGTCATAAAGAGGTGTTGTCCCATCCAGAAAAGAACCAGTGGATGAAAGCCATGCAAGAAGAGATGAAATCTCTGCAGAAAAATGGCACGTACAAGACCACCCAACTGTAAGTGAGTCTTTAAACTCAAGAAAGATAGAAATGGCAAGCTAGTCAGATACAAAGCTTGATTGGTGGTTAAATGCTTCGAACAGAAGAAAGGTATTGATTTTGACAAAATTTTCTAACATGTTGTCAAAATAACTTCTATTTGAACAATTTTGATCTTAGCAGCTAGCCTAGATCTTGAAGTGGAGCAGTTGGATGTGAAAACTGCATTTCTTCATGGAGATTTGGAAGAGGAGATTAATATAGAGCCGCCAGAAGGATTTGCAGTAGCTGGAAAAAACCACATGGTGTGCAAATTGAATAAGAGTCTTTATGGGTTGAAGCAGGCACCAAGACAGTGGTACATGAAGTTTGACTCATTCATGAAAAGTCAAACATACATAAAGATCTATTCTGATCCATGTGTATCCTTCAAAATATTTTTTGACAATAATTTTATTATTTTGTTGTTGTATGTGGATGGCATGTTAATTGAAGTAAAAGACAAGGAGTTGATCGCAAAGTTGAAGGGAGATTTGTCCAAGTCATTTGATATGAAGGACTTGGGCCCATCACAATAAATTCTGGGTATGAAGATAGTTCGAGAGTGAGCAAAGAGAAAGTTGTAGCTATCTCAGGAGAAGTACATTGAACGCGTACTGCAACACTTCAACATAAAAAGTGTTAAGCCCGTCAACACACCTCTTGTAGGTCATCTGAAGTTGAGCAAGAAGATGTATCCTACAATAGTGGAGGAGAAAGGGAACATGGCTAGAGTTCCTTATTCTTCAGCAGTCAGAAGCTTGATGTATGCAATGGTATGCACCAGACCTGATATTGCTCATGCAGTTGGCGTTGTTAGCAGATTCCTTGAAAATCCTGTAAAAGAACACTCGAAAGCAGTCAAGTGGATACTCGGGTACCTGAGAGGTACCTCGGGAGATTGTTTGTGCTTTGGAGGATCTAATCCAATCTTGAAAGGCTATACAGAAGTTGATATAGCAGGTGATATTGATAACAGAAAATCCACTACTGGATATTTGTTTATATTTTCAGGGCGAGCTATATCATGGCAGTCAAGGTGGCAGAAGTGTGTCGCACTCTCTACAACTGAAGTAGAGTATATTGCAGCTAGTGAAGCTGGCAAGTTTGGCTGAAACGGTTCCTTCGAGAGCTTGGACTACATCAAAACGAGTATGTCGTCTATTGTGACAGTCAAAGTGCAATAGACCTGAGCAAAAACACCATGTATCATGCAAGGACGATGCATATCGGCGTGAGATATTATTGGATTCGAGAAAGAATAGAGGATGCATCTATACAGGTCAAGAAGATCCATACAAGTGAGAATCCTTCGGATATGCTGACCAGGTGGTACCAATAGACAAGTTCGAGCTATGCAAAGAACTTGTCGGCATGCACTCAAACTAGAATGCAGTGCTACCTCTTCTAGATGAATGAGACTGGAGGGAGAGATTGATGAGGTCCATCTTATTCGAAATAGGCATGTGCCTAAGGAAAATACTAGGCTGAAATTTCTTTGATTTGGCAGCCAACGTTGTTGAATTGTTAGCATTGAAGAAAAAGAAGGAAAAATGTGTGTAAA